TGAGGATCATTTTGGACAGCCACAGCTGCAGCCATATTTCATTATAATTGACTGGAGAAAATGTTGCCACAGCCAAAGAACTAGGACACATCGCCAAGCTGGACAATCACATTTGGAGTCTTTTTTTTCCCTGCTAGGGGAATGTTATTCCCCCTGATATATCAGAGGTTCTAGGGTGCAACAGCCATAGAGTTAAGGCTAGAAAGCACCACAGATCAGCTAATCTGACATCCTGCATATTACACCACCCACCAACACACACAAAGCCCAACAGCCAAGCTAGTGTAAGCAGGATCTGAAGAACGTGTCTCTCACAGCTAGCTGGAAATGGGGAGAGACCCTGGGTCCATGAAAAGACAATTTGTTCCTGTTTTGCTTAGCTGTGTTAGATATTCAGCAGTTGGTGTGGTATTTTGCTCATGGGAGCCAACATAATTTGTGACCCCACTCCAGCTATGTTTGTATGAAATGCTGGAATTGCTTAAAGATGTCTCCCAATGTTTGACATGTTGTGGGAATGCAGAATTCAGGACTGTGCTTGTTCCAAATGACGGTTCACAGGCTCACGGTTAGCAGAAAGAATCTTACTAATGCAGGGGCTCAACTTTTCAGCTCTATGAAGGTAAGGGCAGGTCATTCTGGTTGGGGTTGTAGTTTTCTACCTCGTTCGCTAAGAGTTGAAATCCCTGGGAGCTGAAATCATTACACACACAGACTATTCAAGAAATGGAACTAAATAGTTATAATTAGGGAGCTGAAATCACATTGCAAGAATATTGTGGGAGACCGTATCAAAAGCCTTGCTAAAGTCAAGGTATATCACATCCACTGACTTCCCCATGTCCACAGAGCCAGTTACCTAATCATAGAAGCTAATCAGATTGGTCAGGCCCGACTTTCCCTTTGTGAATCCATGCTGACTATTCCTAATCACTTTCCTCTCTTCCAAGTGCCTCAACATGGATTCTTTAAGGATCCCTTCCATGATTTTTCCAGGAACCGAGGTAAGACTGACCAGCCTATAGTTCCCTGGATTGTTCTTCTTCCCTTTTTTGAAGATGGGCGCTACATTTGCCTTTTTCCAATCATCCGGGATTTCTCCTGATCTCCATGACTTTTCAAAGATAATGGCCAAAGGCTCCTCAATGACATTTGCCAACTCCCTCAGTACCCTCGGATGCATTAAGTCCGGACCCATGGATTTGTGTACGTTTAGCTTTTCTAAATAGTTCCTAACCTGTTCTTTACCCACCAAGGACTGTCCATCTTCATCCCATCTTGTGTCACTTAGCGCATTAGTCTGGGAGCTCACCTTGTCCGTGAATACAGAGGCAAAGAAAGTATTGAGTACTCATGGTTTTGGTTTGTGAACTTTGTGGTGTTGCCTAAATTAATGCCATGTTACTTCCCTCCCTTTTGCTAAAAGTTTCTTTTCTACTCTCAGACTGCCTCAGCTCCAGGCACCCCTCAGGGACACTGGTGGGAGTGGGGGAGGCTGCAGCTCGTGCCACACTTGTACAGGGAAAATTGCAGGCTGTTCTCCTTCATTAAGGAGTGAGGGGAAAGTGCACGGTTTGCTGCATTCCTCATTCTGACTGGGGTGTGCTGGGGGCAGATGAACCTGGACTTGCCCCAGCCAAGAGATATGCACCCCTCCCCTGGCTGTGCCTGCTGGAGCTGCAGCAGCTATAGAGAGGTGCTTCTCAGCGGGTCCCAAACTGATGCAATGAGAGAGGCCTACCTAACCACAGCATCCTGGCTCCCCTCTCCTCAGGAAAGCCTGAATACTGAACCCCTCATCCCCACAGCAAGGATTTTAATGAAGGAAACCAAAAGTTAAATTAAGGACCTGAGCAACACTGAGTAAATCTTCTAGTAAAATAAATAAATGTTCCTCTTTGCCTGATTTTAGCAGGTTAATATGATTAATTTGGATAATGTGGATTAAAGGCTCATCAATTTATCTGATCAGACGATAATAAGGTTCTTGTCCCAGAATGAGGCTACACAGAGTTTGCACAGGGACCCTCGGGGTGTTTGACAGGGACACTCACACTGAGACATGCAGCCTTCAACACTTTTATTGAGATAAATGAAATAATAATCAAACAGCAACCTAAGGGCAAACTAATGGCTTACAAAGGCAATAACACTGTTCTAGCCACACATGTGATATCACAGACTAGAAAGCTTTCGATGGCTGTACTCACACCCGTCCTTGGGGGAAAGGAACAAAGGAGCAGCCTCACCCCTGGCATGCCAGGAGTTCAGGTCCCGGTTCCTCAGTCCCTGAGCGGGAGGGAGTGCAGAGCTCAGGAGATGCTGAACATTGACGAGCCAGAGATGCCTCCATCTAAAAGAGTTTTAACTGAACGAACCAACATAAAGAAAATTAAAATCTGACTAATAAACAGAAGGAAAATGAACAAAGATACCTAAAAGCTCAGAATCTTTGGAGCTACGTGGTATAAAGGTAACGTACCAAGTCCTGCTTCCATGTCCAAATGTAGAATCCACCAATGTTGCACCCATGACTGCTGACATCCACGTACGTATTCATGACAGTAGCTCATTTGCACATCTGCTATTTCTGTCCTACCTGGTTCTAAGTGATGAACCAGTTATACTTTACCATGTTTATCTATGTAAAGGCAGCAGCCATATATGGCTCTTACGCTTTAGCTCACTACCTAGGTGACAGGTCCCAAAGATCTGTACGCTAACTTAGCCTTAGCTCAACATACAGGACGTGGCCTGTAGGCCCCTTGCGTTACAGCCAAAACATACTCTAATATCACCCTATACACATATTAAGGTAAAATACTCAAACCCATAAGAAAAGATAGGCAAGCAAGCAGGCTAGCCTTATGGTAAAGCACACTGGCCTTGCCCCCTTCCCCCATCTGTTACACAGCAAATAGCTTGGGTTGCATCTTTCTCCAGAGACAGAATCCTGTCCAGAGAACTGGGTGAAACTCTCCTATCTTTCCATACTTCTAACCCAGCCTCCATCTCTACCCTGAACTCCCGCTCCCTTCCATTGCATTTGCTGTTGGTTCATTTCTGGTCACGCCCTTTGCCTCCGAACTGCTTTATACTCCCCTTCACACCACCCCACATTTCTGCAAGAACCTCTCACTCCTTCAGGGGTTAGACTAGACGACATCGCTAAACCCCTAATTCTCCTTTGGCCATGCTGCTTCCTTCAAAAAACTCCATCTTCCCATAAATCTTTCTGGCAAGAACTCAGTCATGCCTGTGTTTGAATTACACTATGTCCTTGTGGATCCCTACTGGGGAAGGGACCCGTTTTCTGTTTGGCACACTGCACCTCTTTTTCAGTGCCACGCACACAGACGATGCTTTGTAATAATGACACGCATGCTGTGTAGCCACCTGGGCTTGCGAGAGACTAACCAGCAATCGCCAGACGGTGCTATATAGAATTCTCAGAAAACACTGCAATTCCAACTGGTTCATGGCCCATTCCTGGGGTTAATAGGACATTCAGACATCTCCCCTCCCAAAATAATAAACTTGAAGTTCCCATTAGTGACCATTCTTACCAGACCTATCCCTGTAATTTTGATACAGTCTCTCCCGCCCACCCCTTAAGACTGGTTCTTCTCCCTGAATGTGATCTACTGAATTAAAATCCTGTTTTTAATGGAATAAGGCTGGACAGTGAGACTGCAGAAGAGGGAGGAACTGAGGCTTTTTAGCAGAGTGGAGTCAGCTGCATGGGGAAGTGCTAGAGAAAGAGCCGCCTGGGAGAGGAGACTGAGATTACAGGAGCCTGAGTAACCAGGTGGCAGATACTAGTTAGACTTAGCTAGACTGGAGTAACTCCACGGAGGGTCTTGATTTCTAGGAGAATAATCCAGAGCTGGATCCAGGAACATTGTACAGAAGACAAAAGAAGTAATACTTCTACTCTACTCTGTTTCAGCTTGAGTCTTGTGTCCAGTTCCGGGTGCCACATTTCAGGAATGATGTGGCCAAACTGAAGAAGGTCCAGAGAAGAGCAACAAAAATTATTCAAGTTCCAGTAAACATGAGCTATAAGTGAAGACTGAAAGAACTGGGGTTGCTGAGTCTGGAAGAGAGAAGACTGTCCTCAGGTACATAAATGATTGTCCTTAATCTCCAGAGATAGGGAAGAACCGATGAAACTGCAAGAGCAGTTTGGGTTGGACATTAGGAAAAACTTCTTGTCAAGGTGGTTGAGCACTTGGAATTTCTACTGCAGGTTAGACAAACACCTGTCAGGGACGGTCTACATAATACTAAGTTCTGCCAGGAGTACAGAGGACTACACTAGATGACCTCTCGGGATCCCTTCCCTGTGATCCAGACATGTGTAGGAAACCAGGGCAGAGGGCTGAGGATGGCGTAGAACAGCATGAGAAAGAGCAACCTGAACGCAGCATCCTGGATCCCTGGAAGCAGACAGAGCAGGGAGGGGCAGTTTTCAGAACAAAAAGGGCTGATGGCCCAGGGAAGGATTTCAGCAGAGACGGGGCAAGGGAAGGATCAGGGGCAATGTGGTTTTCAGGAGCAAACATGACATCATTGCAAGGAATGGGGGACACTAATGATGCCCACTTCAGCACTGTCTCTCCCCACAGAGGCACATCCCAGGCACCCAGTTTGCCACAGAGTGATTGCCCTGGTGGATCTGACAGGTGTGCCATGAAACTCACATTCACTTTTGCTATTTGGTGCTGAAGGGGGCAGCACGGTGGGAAGGGCAGAGGAGAAAGCTTGCCAAAGAAAACAACCCTTTGAATATGGCTTATGGGCCAGGACAAGGGCAGGGGATAAAAGCCATTGGGCAGTGACGTGTCAGCTAAGGTGGTTCTAACATGGACACTGCACGGGCCTGTCCTCTGAGGCTCAGCAGTCATATGGAAAGACTTGTTTCAGAGTGAACATAAAGAAGAGGATCTTCTCATAGTTGGATTTGGTACCAGACTCAAAGAGGCAGGAGAACAGGGGTTGTGTCAGCTCAGGTGGTTCTAACATGGACACTGCACGGGCCTGTCCTCTGAGGCTCAGCAGTCATATGGAAAGACTTGTTTCAGAGTGAACATAAAGAAGAGGATCTTCTCATAGTTGGATTTGGTACCAGACTCAAAGAGGCAGGAGAACAGGGGTGAGCCATCAGGGCCTGGCCCCATGTACTGCAGATCCGAATAAGCACAGTAGCCCTTGTAGATGACAGTGGGTTCTGTCCAGCTTTCTGGATTTAAGGGTTCCTTGTTGAGGTACACACCTAAATCTTTCCGCTCGTTACGGTCTATGGGGTGAGAATAGAGGACCCACGTGTCCTCCTCTGACTGCACACCAGCGGGTCTTGGGAAGCCAATAACACTCCCGTGACAGCCCTCGGGAGGTTCTACCAGATTCTGAATTTTACACTGTTGGTCACTGGGAAAATCCCTCCCCTCGTTGTAGCTCACAGCCTGGACTCTGGCTCTCTCTTTGCTTCTAGCGTTGCAGTACAGCACTGACTTTCCTTGGCTCCTCAATTCAACCACCTGGCATTCCCCAGCTTTCTTCTCTGACAGAAAGTTTCCCCTTTTCCAGGTCTTCCCATGGTCATCACTAACAAAGCAGAAGGGGTGGGGGGACGGAGAACTATTTTCATGTATCCAATAGGCATGTGCTGGAATCACTAGACTCTTAACCTCATTGTTTAGCTGTAAACCGTGGCCTGGTCCCACTGCAAAGGTAGCCCAGGCCTTGGGCACTGTGTCAGTGTCAGTGAGATCTGTCACAGGGCTCCAGGAGACTCCATTGTCAGCGCTGGTGACCTGGCACAGACGGGCCTTGTTTTCCTTCTTGTCGAGCTGGTGTTGCTCAGAGATGTTTCCCTCGACAGCTATAAAGACCAGAACGACATTTCCAGTGACTTCATCATACACAGGACATGGGTTCATGGGGCGGTGGTCACCCAGTGGAGCCTTGACAATGGTCTTCACTTTTTCCCACTGCCACACAATATTAAAATAAACACAGTATTAAAATAAATCCATGTTACACAGGACGGATACTTATATTACACATGCAGGCCAGAAATAAGCAGCAGCGAATCCAATTGAGTGATGAGAATAGGGCACCGGAAGTCGAAGGTTTATGTCCCAGAGCTGCCACTGACTTGCTGTGTTACTCAGAAAGCTAAATCAGAAGACTGATTTTCACAGGTATGAAGCCCCCATACATGCCTCATTATGAAACCAGGCACCTGGCTTTAGTCTCCCACGTTTGCAACATTGGATTAGTGACTCACCTGAACGAGACGGCAAGTGAGAAGCGGAGCTCTGGTCCAGACCCCACAGGTCCTAACTCCCTTGTGCTTGGCTGAAATTTAATAGCTCACAGCACAGCCAGGGAACCATGGAATAGGAGAGTTAGAAGAGACTGTACCAGCTGCACAGCAACTAGAGGAGGCCGAAGTGCAGCCTTCTGGCTGGGAATGGGATGGCCAGAGAAGCTATTTGAGTTATTCAGATGGATGCTTATGTCCTGATTTGCTGATTGATCATTTTTAATCCTTGTCTCTACTTCAAATTTCTAACCAACATCTGTATAGCTTTTATTTAATAAACCTCAGCATGCAGACAAGGTACCAAGTCCCTTTCTGACCAGCTGAACCCCATTTCACAGAATTATTGGTGGTTAATGAACCATTGTTATTGAATATGTATCTAGCCGGACTGCTCTGAGACTTCAGTTGTGATAGGCAGAGACAGTGATTCGTCCTGAACAATGTACCATCTCACACAGCGATTTCAACCTGTGGTTTGTGGACCCCTGGGGACTCGCACACTAGGTCTAAGATTTCTCAGGGATCATCACCCCATCCATTCAAAGGGGTTGGCACCTTCTTTTGTAGGGCTCTGCAAAGGACGAGAGGTGGCAGTCCAGTGAGCTAAGACAGCAAGCCGCATGTGGAGGCTCAGAGGAGAGGGGTAGGAGGCCACAGACACTGTATTGTAAAACGTTTGCAATTGTTAGAAGTTATTACAAATGGATGGAGAATCGAGGACCCCCAGCTGCCTGCCAGCCCAGCCCTCATTAGCGGGTGAATTATTAAGTTAGCAGACATGTTTCACACATGAACCGGACAAACATTTTGTCGGGTGGAGCAATTTTCAACAATTGGTGAACTAGAAGTTTGTCTAGCTAGAATGAGCAGGTGCCCCTCCCACACGGCTCACCTCCCAGCCCACCTCTTTCTGTCTTTGGTCTCTGGATCCGTGCCAGTGACCCTCTGCTGCTGGCTCCCTGCCTGGCTCCCTGCACACAGTAGGGATGCCCTAGTAAGCCTATTGCCCACACATCTTTTTGGCTCTTGTCCCAACCCTGCACCCAGTTTACTGCCCCACGAATAAGTGAAGCAACGAAAGTCACTTCCGTGAAAGGTGCATTACCTGAACGGCGTGCGTAGTCTCATTGTACGTGCCTCTGTGCATGACTATCAGCTTGGCGCTTTCATCCTTCTCACCCCCCCGCTGCTCGGCGAAAGCCAGGATGGTGTGGGACTTCTGAATGTAGAGCAGGGCTGGGATTCGATAGTGCGGCTGTTCCTCTTGGAACATATTTTCTCGCAGGTTGAAAGGGAAAGGCATCGGGCTGTCGGAACAGCAGGAAATGGGTATGATCTCGCTTCCCCTTAAGCTGTAGGGGCTGGGCAGCTACCTATTAAGCACAGCCAAGAGAGACGCCTCTCCCTACGCGCTGGAGTTGCTGGGGATGACGTGCATGGGTGGGGGGGAGCCTCCCCGATGGCCCCAGCACCAAGCTGGAGGTAGCGCCTTGCCTTGCCAGTCCCAGCGGGGTGTTGGTGCAGCTGGAGAAGAGGAGCCCCTCCTGGCCATCCCCAGCAGGGAGCCACCCAGGTAAGTCTGAGCCTCAACCCTCTGCCCCACTTTGACCCCCCAGATTGCTCCTCTCCCCAAAGCCCTGAACCACACCTCCACCCCAGACCTTTATCCCTCCTGCACCCCAACTCCCAGCCCAGAGCCTGCATCCTTCTCCTGCCTCCCAATTCCTCATCCCCAGTCCCACCTCAGCGCCTGCACCCCCAGCCAGAGCCCTTGCGCTCTGGCAAGGGCTGTCTATTGCAGCTCCCTCCTTCTCTTCCTATTACTGGGCCACATGCCCTCCCCGTTTTTGGACACCTCCTGCTCCACCTACAGCCTAGCAGGGAGGAGTGGGCAGCCTGTCCGTTCCTTCTTGCCCCCTCTTTCGTCCCTAACCCCATTAAGGGGGGGGATGCAGGTGGAGCCCCTTGGGAGGAATCCACTCTCCCCCAACCTGTCCTTTTTGCAGACATTAAAGTTCTGTGCACAGAGTTCCCACCACCCCCAGAAATGGGCTGCAGCAATGCCGGCTGTCACTGCACAGGGCAGAGCCCAGCTTGCACAGGGAAGTCCCTGGCCAGGAGGGGGTGAAGGAGGGAGAGAGCCAGAGGGCTCCTGGCTGCTGCAGTTCCCCGCCTGCCCTGAGGGAAGGAGAGGGCAAGCCTGGGACTGGTTATCACGCTGTTTCTCCCTCTGAATCCGTGGGCTCTTGGAAGGCCGAGGGGAGAGGGTTCAGGTATACGAGGCCCCACAGCTGGGCTCTGGGGGGAAAAGGGGTGCAGGTATCTGGTCTGGAGGGGGCCATGGTTGGGCCCTGGGGAGGAGGCTGGTTGGATGTATTGACTGCATGGAGACCTGCAGGGGGGTCTGTGGAGGGAGGCTTGTGGGTGCCTGGCTCCCGGCTGAGCTTGTGGAGGGGAGCATAGTGGGGCTGCCAAACACGATCTGGGCTGTCAGAGGGGTTTCTTTAACTCTCTGCTCCCAGGAGACTGTTTGGGTCTGTCTGTTAGGGTACGTCTACACTGCATCCCTAGTTCGAACTAGGGATGCAAATGGAGACAATCGAAGTAGTTAATGAAGCGGGGATTTAAATATCCCGCCCTCCATTAACATGATCTTGCCGGTGCGCTAGTTCGAATCACAGCTGATTCGAACCAGGAAGTGCGCGCTGGGACGCGTTAGTTCAGACTAAAGCCCTTAGTCCGAACTAATGTTACTCCTCAAAAAATGAGGACTTTAGTCCGAACTAACGCGTCCCGGCGCGCACTTCCTGGTTTGAATCAGCTGTGATTCGAACTAGCGCGCCGGCGAGATCATGTTAATGGAGCGCGGGATATTTAAATCCCCGCTTCATTAACTACTTCGATTGTCTCCATTTGCACCCCTAGTTCGAACTAGGGATGCAGTGTAGACATACCCTTACAGACACAGTTGCTGACGGGGTGTTGAAATAAATCACCAAAATACCTGAAGCTCACATGGCCACGCCATGGTATTTTGACAAAACACCTTTGCAGCATTCTGAATTCCTGTGCGCAGAGGACGGAACATGTTGGTGCAGAAAGCAACAGGAGCAAGGCCGAGCTAGGACTAAGTTAGTGTACGTCTGTTTGGGACCTTTCACCTGGGTGATGGGGATGAGCTAATGCCCGCACAGGGCTGTAACCTTGAACACAGATAGAGAAAGGAGGCGTCGCAGCAGGTTGGTGTAGGAGAGCTAAGTCCATACTCCCTTTTACACTGAAGAGGTGTGTCACAAAGAAAGAATCAAAAAGCCCCAACAGGACAGAAATAAGGGACGCTGCACTGCAGCAGTCCAGTCCCTTCAGTTCCCCAAGTCTGCTCCCCTGAGCTGCCGCCCTCAGTTTACCCCAGCTGTTTGGGATGTCCCGAGAGGGGACAGAGACCTCTCGATCGGCTCAGAACATGGTCGCCATCAAAGGAAGAGGGGGGAACTTGCCCCGTCCCTCAGATTTTTTTCTAGGGACTTGTTTGAAGTGTGAAACCTGGTTTGGGGGTGTTATTTCCTGTTGATGTTGATGAAGTGACACCCTGTTTTAGAGATAAAGACAGCAGAGTGTTCACCGCATAGTTTCCTATAAGACTTACACAGTGTTGCTTGTGTCCCTAACCCAATTCATTTGTATTATTTTGAAAATAAAATGAAAATGTCCCTGCTTTATTTGAAGCGCTGCTCTGGGGTGGGGCTGTAGAGGAGGAGTTCAGTGTGTAGGGGCGCTAGCAATGTGGCCATGAAATGTCTTAACTCAATTCATTTGTATTTTCTGAAAAATAAAATGAGCATGTCCCTGCTTTATTTGAAGCGCTGCTCTGGGGTGGGGCTGGAGAGGAGGGGTTCAGTGTGTAGGGGCGCTAGCAATGTGGCCATGAAATGTCGACAATGGGAGGCAGAAAAACTAGTTTGATTGGGTTTCATTTTTGACGACTTTTGCACGTTGACAGCACTTTTGTCGCCAAACCTTCCCAGTGCGGACACAGCCTCAGAGTACAGGCTGGGATGCTGCTGTAGCCCCGCGCCAAACAGGCCCCAGGCTGTAGCCCCAGCAAAAGAAGCCAACCCCACATTTGCCTCCCTTCCTCTCCCAGCCCATGCCCATCCCTGTGTTCCACGGGATTCCTGCTTTCCTTCCAGTCCCAGTACTCACCTCGCCTGCTCTTCTTCATCTCCTTCCTCTTCCCTAGCAGCCTGGCTCCTCACCTCCCATGCCCCACAATCCACCTTCCTATCTGACCTCCCCCCTTCTGTTCACAGCTTCAGCAGAGCTGGTTTCCCTGTGGAATTGATGCTACTGGCTCCTCTGGCTCGGGCTGCCTCTCACCCACATATCCCTCAGTCGTTGCTTCTCCTTTCCCCTTCTCCTGGGATCCCTCTCATTTCCATTCTCTGCCTCTACCCTTGCACCCCTTTCCTGTTGCTGCCTCCCACTCTTTGCTGTCCCCACCACCAATTCGACTCCTCCACCAAGCCCTGGGGCGCACCCATTCACACTGCCTTTTCCCTTGGGCCTCTGGCCTGGGGACAGGTGTCCTGCTTGCTAGGGGGCACTGAGAGGGGAAATGAAAGCCCTGCTTCCCACAAGCATTCAGGAGTTTTCTCTTTGGCCGGGGTGCTTGCTAAGCACCGTACACCCCCACCTGTACTCCGATACTCTGCCCAAGCCTGGAGCACCCTGCCAGAGCCAGCACCCTGTACCCCCCACTACACCCCAACACACTGCCTCAGCCTGGAGCACCATCCCAGAGCCAGCACCCTGTACCCCCTATGACACCCCAACACACAGCCTCAGCCTGGAGCCCCCTCCAAGAGCCAGCACCCTGTACCCCCCACTACACCCCAACACACTGCCTCAGCCTGGAGCACCATCCCAGAGCCAGCACCCTGTACTCCCTTCCTACACCCCAACTCACTGCCTCAGCCTAGAGCCCCGCCCTGCACCCCAGTGACCTCCCAGAGCTTGCATCTCTCACCTCCTCCTGCTCACAAAGCCCATGGTCCTGGCCCGAAACCCACACTCCCTGTCCCAGCCTAGTGAAAGTGAGTGAGGGGGGGGAGAGCAACTGATGGAAAGAAGAGGGAATGGAGTAGGAGGCACCTGAGAGAAGGGGCGGGACCTTGGGGAAGAGGCAGAGTGGATCCTGGTTTGTCCTGACATTGTCCTGGTTTGTCCTGGGCATAAAAGGGTTAGAGAGCAACCCATGGAGTTTTGTGAGTCGGGGTTGCATGTGGGAGCAGAACAGAAGGAAAGAGGCTGAGCCGGGGAAAGGAAAAGCGGGAGAATGTTGCTTGTCGCTCATGGTTTTGTAGGGATGAAATCGAACAAGCAATTAGAGTGACTTGGGGAAGCCCAGCGAGCTGTGAAGAAAGGAAAAGCCGCGCCGGAGTTAACAATGGGCTCCGGGCCTGTTGGGGAGCGATCCGCTCTCTGCCAAAGATGCAGGAGTCAGAGATAAAGGAAGAACCGGGTCAATGTCAGGGACTGGGAGCAGGCGAGGAAACGCTGTTGGCAGGAGCGAGCAGCTGCAGCTCAGATCACTGGATGGCTCAAAATCTGACCCTGGTGGCAGCAGGAAAGAATCCAGGAGGTGGGAAGTGCGATGCGATAGCGAGGGGCCAGGCACACACAGCGCCGGCGGCAGACGGGCCAGCCTCGGCACTTACAAGGGGGCAACTCCCCTCCCACTGCCAGTGCAGGCTGTGCTCTGATCTGCTTTCCAGGCAGCCTGCAGCCCATGGGTCACTCAGAGCACAGGGCTGGAGGAACTTGGGCTGGCTCCCCAATTTCCTCAGCAGCCAGCCAGCTGGAGCACAAGCTCCCCATGTCCAGCCAGCGGGACGCTGTGTGGGGTGGGGACTGCGCTCAGCGCCGGGAAGCAGGGAGTCAGGGGCTGGGGGGCTCCACATAGCGGGGCGGGGGAGAAGAACAACATCACCATGTTACTTCCCATGCAGAAAAGCCAGTAAAACAGGGTCCCACCCAAGTTGGCGCTGCCTGGCCCACCTCACCCCGATGGCAGGGGGAGACTCACCGAGGGGTGGCCCCACCCAGCCCTTCCCAGAAAGACACCAGCACAGCAGCACCCTCCCTCCGAATGCGCCAGGCCACCTCACTCGGCTCGACTAACTCTGCTCTTACCTGGCCATGTTGCTCCAAATTTAGTGGTGCAGGTGCAGCCGTGTGTGCCTACGAAATGCCTCCTGCCACAATTCCCTGTGAGAAAGAGCAAGCAAAAAGGAGGATGGAGCATCGGATCCCATCTCCATTGGTGGAGCTGAGAGAGAGAGAGAGAGAGAGAGAGAGAGAGAGTAAGCTGGGGGGCTAATAATTAGAAGCAGGGTGAGACGTTACCTCAGGCTGTAGCTAACACAGCACCCTTAGGAGTGGAGTCAGGGACTGAGTCTCAGGAACTGCAGGAGAGTTAGTTATAAGAGGGCTTCAGCACTTACGTAGCCACCAACAGACTGCAAGCAGAAAAGGGAGGTCACAGAGTGAAACAGCAGGAGGTGGAGTCAAGAGTTATCTCAGAGGATCCATGCACTCTAAAATAGAGAGAGAGATCATTGATATTAGGATATTTACCTGCCATTGCTCAGGTCCTTAACTCAAATAAGGGTTTTTTATTTTTAGAACATAAAAGGAAAAGGTGATGTTTTATTTAAACAACTGTTTTTTTCAAAAATTGTATTATTTTTATGAAGTACATTTTTATTTTTTGATTTCTTTAAAAAAGGGATTGTTTAAAAATTTTCCATTTCACTTTTTAGTGTATGATTTCATCATCCCTGTAAACTCTTAGGCTACATCTACATTGGCCCCTATTCCGTAATAGGGATGCTAATGTAGCACTTGGGAATAGGCAAATCCGCGGAGGATTTAAATATCCCCCGCGGGATTTGCATTTTCATGGCTGCCGCTTTTTTCCGGCTTGTAGATAAGCCGGAGAAAAGCGCCAGTCTGGACGCGATCCTCCGGAAAATAAGCTCTTGAAAGTGGGAATAAGAGATCCTCCGGAAAAGAGCTTATTTTCCGGAGGATCGCGTCCAGACTGGCGCTTTTCTTCGGCTTATCTACAAGCTGGAAAAAAGCGGCAGCCCTGAATTCTCCGGCTTATCTACAAGCCGGAAAAAAGCGGCAGCCATGAAAATGCAAATCCCGCAGGGGATATTTAAATCCCCCACGGATTTGCCTGTTCCCAAGTGCTACATTAGCATCCCTATTACGGAATAGGGGCCAATGTAGACGTAGCCTTACCATTTGCTGTGTTTTGTGGAAGAAAACATTGTCTTCACTCTGCGTTTGTAAGCAACAAGTAGTCAGAGGCAGTTTTATCACGAGCTGCAGCAAGGGAAAAACTGCTTTGGACGGGAGGGGGGGCAGATCTTCGAATACAAGCAATCATGAAGCAGTTTATATACTGTCCATTAGATATAATAATAACAATTAGTCTCCTTCCCATTACAAACACCAATGGCTAACCCAGATACTCCTTATCTCAAGGTCCCTGCCAGAGTCAGCATTCTATCCTTATCTCCCTATGGAGGCGAGAGGCGAAGGCAGCGTCTTATTACAGCTCTCGCATTGTCAAGAATCAGAATTTGCCTTACTCTTGCTCTCTTGCTAACAAGACTAAGATGGCTGCACACAAATTCCCTTATTCCCTTTTTCCTGCCTCCACAGTTTTAACAAAAAAGGACTATAATCAATGTGGTTTGAAATAACACTTTCTTCTAGCTTTCAAACCTTAAGCATTGATTTAGCGATGCCAAAACAGAGCCTACTCCACATTTCTCCATTTCATCTTCCAGGTTCATCCTATTACTCTGACTCAGTTCAGTTCAGTCTTTTTAAATATTTGCTGAGTTATGTCAGTTTTGAGGCATTGCTTGATTTGGTGAGTCCATTTCTTTTCTGTTTGGTTTTATGAGAAGCAATCCCATACTAGGCACATCCCTTTTTCTTGGCATAACCGAACCCTTACGTTGCTGTAAGTTATGATACGTGGAAGCTGTATATCAAATTTGATGTCTTAGCTCTTACCATTTACGAGGAGTTCTTTGAGACACACACAAATTCTCTAAAGTACATAATAGATATCCACATAAAATGCTATGGGCCATGGGGCCTAGTGTGGCTGAAATTTATTTGAACATGAGTACATGCATCGTACGTTGGCAACTGAAAAGAAGACTAAGGTTTCAAGTGATCAAGAGCTATTTGTACACAAACAACTTTTGTTATCTCCCTGGAAAATAGGATGAATCAGCAGATAAAAAACATCAAGTGACACGGTAATAAACATGTATAAGTACTGGAGGAAATGGCACAACTTAGATCACAGTGGCTTGCCCAAGACTATTTTCTTTGGCATTTTGGTGAAGGCCCGGACAATAGACACAAAAGACTAATCACGTCATGAAGTGTATTATACATACGTCACACGATTACAAATAGGAATCTATCAATCCAGAGCCCTGAACCACCAGGATTTCTGACTACATACTATGAGTATGATTGGGGTATGAATGTGGAGTGAATGAGGGTCATTCCGTCAGCAATAAAGAGTATTTAACATATAATATACCAACTTTCTAACCAGTATCGGCGTGTTCCTGAATCCCATAGAGACACCCCTGCTGGGGATCTAACACTTAGGCTACATCTACACTACAAAGAAAAGTCGGAAAAAGATATGCAAATTTTGAACTGCAATTTGCATATCTTTTTCTGCTTTTCTGTTGGAAGAGGCTTTTCCGAAATTTGACACATCTACGAAACTACATGGTGACAAATTTGGAAAAAACTTGCTCTTTCAAGCCATCCCTTCTTCCTCATAAAACGAGGTTTACAGGGATGGTGAAAGAACACATCTGTTTTTCCGAATTTATTTTCAGAAAAGTGGACACATTCCTTGGATGTGGCAGTGCTTTTCCAGGATGCGCTGCAATCTAGACATGGCCTTGTGTTGAATTGCAGGGGTGAGGACTATCAAGGAGTGAGAGATTTGAAACAGGGACTTACAGTGTTGGGAAAGTCCTTATTAAAATTGAATAAGGGTGATTCCTTATTTTGTGGAATTAGTGAAGGAAAAAAAATGAGCAGGGAGATACCATGTGGAGTACCAGTTACAGTAAATGCCAGTGAGAGAGAGCGTGCAAAGAGATACCACACAATGTTCTTGTAACAATGTTTAGAACACTGTTGAAGAGTAAAAGTAAAGGGGTGGTGAAGGCACCCCTGTGGACTAAAGTTAAAGACCCTCGCTGTTGGGGAAGGAGTTTTGGGACATGCCCTTGAATGCAGGGTGCAATGGAAACTGATACAACAACTGATACCCTAGGAGACCTGTTTAAGAAATATCAAATATATGCAGCTGCACAAGCCTAATTCCAGTGAAAAGCAAATGGTTGTGGTGTGGCTGTTGTGACAGACTGTAAAACAGGCAGTTGCATGTAAGAAGGAAATATGTGCAGAGCTACAAACTTTTCAAGAGAATTCTAAACCTTGCCAGGAAAATGTGGAGAGGGATGTGAGGCAGGCACAGATAATACAAGCTTTGTTGGAACAAATGGGGAAACTAAATAGGGAACTGTAAAAGAGACTGACCGATTGGGAAAAGATTAAGACAGAAAAAAATATTAATCAAGTGGTAGGAATAAAAGTGTTAATTTGAGAGCTAACCAAGGAAAAGGAAGAATAGAGTGCATTCATGCACCCACATTAGAATAGTCCCATCTCTACTGTATTTCCTTAGTTTATTGATAAGGAGGTCATGGGAGACCATATCAAATGCTTTACTAAAGTGTAGATATACCATATCTACTGCTTCCCCTTATCCATAAGGCTTGTTATCCTATTAAATTAGGCTATCAGGTTAGTTTCACACAATTTGTCCTTTACAAAACCCTGCTGGCTGTTACCTATCACCTTATTATCTTCTGGATGTTTGCACATCGATTCCTTAATTATTTGCTCCATTATCTCTGTAGTTTCCTGGGTTGTTCTTATTTTTCTTGTTATAGATGGGCACTATATATGCCCCTTTCCAGTCTGCTGGAATCTCTCCCATCTTCCATGACTTTTCAAAGATAATGGCTCAGACACCTCTTCAGTCAGCTTCTTGAATATTCTAGGTATGCATTTCATCAGGCCCTGGTGACCTGAAGACTAATTTTTCTAAGTACATTTTAACTTTTTCTTTTCCTCTTTTAACTTCTGAAGCTACCTCCTTTTCTCCATCATTTACTATTGTAGGCCTCCAATAAACACCAACTTTCTTGGCAAAAACGAAAACAAAGCTGTCATTAAGCACGGTTTGCCATTTCCACATTTTCTGTTGTTGTTCTTCCCTCTTCACTGAGCAATAAGCCTGCCCTGTCCTTAGTTTTCTTCTGGCTTCTAATGTATTTGTAGAATGTTTTCTTGTTAACCTTTATGTCTCTAGCTAGATTGAGCTCATTTTGCATCTGGGGCTTTCTAATTTTTGCCCTATACACTTGTTTATATTCATCTTTCGTGATTTGACAGAGTATATATTTTATAGGACTCTTTTTTGATCATTCAGGATCTCCTGGATGAGCCAAGATGGTCTCGTGCCATATTTCCTGTCTTTTCTATGCAGGAGTATAGTGTGCTTTTGGGCCCTTAATAATGTTCCTTTGAAAAACTGCCAACTGCCTTCAATTGTTTTTCCTCTTAGTCTTGCTTCAGCTATCAGCTGCCTGAGTTTGCTAACATCTGCCTTTTTTAAATCCATTTTGCTGCCCTCACTCCTACATCTTTTTGAATCATGAACTCTATCATTTCAGATCACTTTCACCCAAGCTGCTGTCCAAGCTCAAATTCTTAAGCCAAAATCAAACCTTGAACAGCCTCCCCTCAGTAGCTTTGTCCACCTTCTGAAATAAAAAAAATTGTCACCAATACATTCCAAGAACTTGCTAGATAATCTGTGTTCTGCCATGTTATTTTCCCAATAGATGTCTGCCTGATCTACTTCTTCTTCCTGGTTCGGTGGTCTGTAATAGACCCTCTAGCATGATGTAACCCTTGTTTTTCACCCCTTTAACCTTACCCAGAGACTCTCAACAAGTCTGTCTTCTATGTCCATCTCCACCTCAATCCAAGTGTATACATTTTTAATATATAAGGCAACACCTTCTCCTTTTTTCCCTGCCTGTCCTTCCTATTCAAAGCTGTACCTGTCTATACCAATATTCCAATCACATGCATTATTCAACCAAGTCTCTGATACCAACCATTATCATAGCTTTGTTTATTTACTATTATTTCAAACTCTTCCTGCTTATTCCCCATACTTTTTGCATTTGTATATAGTCAACTAAGACATTTATATATCCCATGCTTCATTTGCATATTTATGTTATGGCGCTATTTCAAAATAGCACTATTTCGAAATAACAGATGCTGTTAAGAGGCGGTTATTTTGAGAGAAAACCCCTCTGTCAAAATAACCCTTATTCCTCATACAATGAGGTTTACCAGTTATTTCAAGAGAAGAGTTTTCTCTCGAAATAACCGCATCTTAACAGCATCTGTTATTTCGAAATAGTGCTATTTTGAAATAGCGCCATAACATAAATATGCAAATGAAGCATTGGATATTTAAATCCTGGCTTCATTTGCAATTTCGAATGTCTTCATTTGCATCCCTCTCTCGAAAGAGCGTGCAAGTATAGACATACCCTATGAAATTTCTAGAATACTCAAGGAATTGATAACAGAGGTATCTGAGCCATTAGCTATCATCTTTGTAAAGTTAGGAAGTGTAGACATAAAATAGTGATCAGGAGAAAGTCCCCACAGATTTATCTCCTTCTTTATCCAGACATTCTATAACCATATCTCCAGGACCACCCAATTTCACCAGTCACTGTGTGTGGTCATGATCGTAGCTCAATAAAGTTCCACAGCCAGCAGATACTTGATGAGTTCTGACAAACCCCTTCCCCAGCACCCAGTAAAGTGGAACAACTTTCAGTTTGTGTGCTTGGAGGATATCTGAATCCATACTGTCAGAGTGGCCCACATAATGGGGAAATGTTGAGGTGCCTCAACTTTTGTTGCTCTTCTATTCCGCTCCTTATTTCTGTGGGAAAATCACCAATGCAATATTATGATCTTCTTTTAAAAGAAGAAAAAAAAACAAAAAAACGCCCCAAACTGATAATGGCCAGCATTGGTTGTACAATTGTATCCTGCTTTTTCTACAACAAATTACAGTGGCTCCAGTATTTGATTTTTTCCCCCATGATCAAATGGGGTCCTTCTGAGCTTGGGCCTGGGACCAGAGAACAATTAGCCCAATGGTAAATCTGCCACTGATGCTCAGGGAGTTGTGTGTATTTCCCAGCCAGCTGGGTGGGGGCTCAAGCCAGTCCTCTGTTGGTTGGATGGGGAGGAACCCCTAGAGATTCAGTCTGGCCCTGGCTGCTGCTGGCTTCTCCTGGCAGAAGGGTTACACAAGAACAGCAGGTGCCAGCAGCTGCCATTGTGATTTGTGAATGTGTAACCACCTACAGGCACATTGGAAACTGTTCTCCTATTCTCATATTGGAGTCACCTGGTGCACTGGATCAGTGCTGTTTGCATTATGGCTCAAAGCATCCTGCAGTCGGTCACTTCATGAGAACAAAACAAGGAGTCCTGTGGCACCTACAAAAACACTTTTTACCTACAAAAGCTTATACCCAAATAAATCTGTTAGTCTTTAAGGTGCCCCAGAACTCCTCATTGTTTTTGCAGATACAGACAAGAGAACACACCCAGCATGGTTTTCCAGCAAGATAATTTCACCTGCTCTCAGTGGCTACAGGGCATAGTGTGGACAGATGAGAAAAGCCCAAAAAGATTCCCACATGCCATGGAACACAAAGCATTTCCTAATATTATTTGACAAAAAAGGTTAACCGAAGGGCAGATTCCCAACCAAAGAATTTTGCTAGAGTCTAAAAATGGATGCAAACTGAATAGGCAATTCAGGCTGCACCTCTACAATCTAGCATTCTCTGGTCCAGCTACATCTGTGGTCCGGCATGACCACGGATGTTCCAGGATCAGAGAGTCCCGGTGCGCTGCAGAGGGTGGGGGCCTGGGAGCCTGCACACGCTTCAGTTGGGCTGTGAGAAGGGAGACAGCACACAGTTCAGCTGTGCTGGGGGTTGGGAGGAAGAAGCGCCAGAAGCTGGTGCACAGCTTATTTGGGCTGGAGTGGGGCCATGAGCTCATGTACAGTTCAGCTGGGCTGCAGGGGGAGCCAGGAAACCGGGGGGGAGGAGAGGACTGAAATGACCTCCCCTGGGTCCGGAAAAATCCCTTATCCTGGACCAGTCAGGTCCCAAGGGTGCTGAACCAGGGAGATCCAAGCCTTAGTAATAGGTTGTTGGCCACAAAAGGGCACTTTGGCCTCTGGCCTGGATCTGAAAATAAACCTGCCAAGTGGCAATCTCTTATCAGCAAGCAAAAACTTCTCACTTAGTAGCCACTACAGCCCAGCCTGTCAGTTACTCTGCAGCTTGGGAAGAGGAGCAGGGCGGGACAGTAAAGATTGCTTTGAGCGGGTGAGGAGATGCCATAGCTCCTCGCGCACTTTGTCCCCCAGTCTGTGCCTACGAGGGACTGGCCCTTCCTACTGCAGGTGCCTTCAGGCAGAATAGCAGAGTAAGGGGAATGAAGTGGGAGCTGGAAGCCTTTATTTCAACAGCCCCCCAGATCTCTCACACAAGTGCGCCTTTGCCGGCCTCCAGCTGCAGCAGGCTCATCATCCCCCTTCCAAACGGCAGGAACACAAGAAACAAATGGGAGGGGCCTTCCTGCATGAGCACCTCCAGCAGGCAATGGTAGCGTCACCCTGACAGTCCCAGAGCCATAGGGTTCAAGGCAACTTCCCAGGGCCCCATGCTTTGGGGGGCCCAGTGCTTCAGGGGGATGCAGAGGTGTGGGGTGAAGGGCGGCCTCAGGAATTAGCAGGGGGCAGCAGGGGGCAGGCCCACTTCTGATCTCACTGCCTCTGTCACTTGGGGAGGGGGCCTGAGAGAAGGGATGGATTGGGAGTGGGGAGGGGGCACTGTATGGTAGGAAGAGGTGAGGCAGGGAAGGAGCAGGGGAGGGGTTTTGGGGAAGAGGTGAAGCAGAAGCAATGCAAATAGGAGCAGGGGAGGGAAGAGACAGAGCAGAGGCAGGGCCTGGGGCACAGGGGGATTATCCACAGCCCTGCATCCCCCTACGGACGATGCTACACAATCCTGTATGGAGCACTGATCTGACTAGCATGAGATCCTTATAGAGCCCAAAGAACAAATTTTTTACCTTGGGAATCTGTGTGTCTGTTCAAGAGCTCCTCCTAAACGGTGAGAGCTAGGACCTCTAAATTCAGTAGGCAGCTTCCTCTTATCGCTTAAAGCAAGGTCAGGGTTTGGTTGTGCCAAGCAAATGGGATGGGCCTGGTATTCAATTGTTTCTCATAAAATCGAAAGGTGCGGGTCTGCTATGAGGGAGTTCTACCGTAGAATGACTACAGGGGCCAGCGAGGGGCCAAAGACGGGGAGTGGGACAGCTGTAACCCCACTGGGCCAGCAGGGGGCGGTGTGGAGAAAGGATAGCTAGCTACTATGTATTTCAGAGTGTTTGTGTATCTGTCAGTCTGTCTGTCCATCAGCTGGGGGACATGTGCCCCTCCCCGGCTGTGCTAGCTGCAGCAGCCACAAAGAGGTGCTTCTCACCTGGCCCCAGGCTGCTGCAGTGAGAGAGGGCTGGGGCTGTCCTGTCCTCCTGGGGTACCTTCATACTGAACCTCTCGTTCTGAGCCCCACCCCAGACCACTGATTTAAAGGAAGAAAACCTAAACTTATTTGAGTTAAGGACCTGAGCTATGGCAGATAAATCTTTTACTAAATAAATATGTTTCTCTTTGTTAGCAGGTGAATATTATTAATTTGGATAATGTGGGTTAAAGACTCACCAGTTGATCTGATCAGAAGTTCGGTAGGGTGCCATTTTGCAGGGAAAAGAACTCCCACACCCACTGCCGATGCAAGCTCTGCCCTGATCTGCTTTCTGGGCAGCCTGTAGCCCATGCAGTCACTCAGAGCCGATGGATGGAGGCATTTTGGCTGGCTGCCCAGAAACTGAGTCACTTTGCTTTTACTTTCACTTACTCAACAGGCAGGCAGCCAGCTAGAGCACCAGTTCCCCACTTCCAGCCAGTGGAGTGCTCTTGCAGGGTTGAGGAGAAGAACATCATCACTGTGTCACTTACAACGCAGAAGAGGTAGCAAAAAAAGGGTTCCACTGAAGCGGGCACTGCCTGGCCCAAGTAACCTCATCACGGAGGCAGGGGGAGACTCACAGAAGAGTTGCCCCACCCAGTGCTTTTCAGAGGGAGCCAGCACAGCAGTACCCTCCCTCAGCATGCACCACGCCAATGCATTCGGCTGACCCGACCCCGCTCTCACCTGCTTTCTTTGCATTCCATTTTGGGGGTGTTGCTTGAAATGTAATGCTGCCTGCACAGCTGCATGTGCCTAAGGACGGCCCTGTCTACACAAATGCCTGCTGCCACAAGCTCCCGGAGAGAAAGAGCAAGCAGAGAGGTTCAGATGGTGACACAGATTGTGAGGGAGAGAGGGTCGCATTAGAGGAGGATGGAGCATCAGTTCCCCTCTCCATTGGTGGAGCCGACAGAGACAGAGCAAGCCACGGGGCCAATAATTAGAAGCAGATTGAGACGTTACCTCAGGCTGCAGCTGACACAGCACCCCCAGGAGTGGAGTCAGGGACTGAGTCTCAGGAACTGCAGGGGAGCTAGAAGAGGGCTTCAGCGGTGACATAGCTGTCAGCAGACTGCAAGTAGAAAAGGGAGGTCACAGGGTGGCACGGCAGGAGATGAAGTCAAATGTTATCTTAGAGGAGGTGACTGATGATATAAAGGCTGAGACAAGCAGAGCAAAGGGGCTACATTTCTATACACAGGTACAAACAAGGTACAAATCACTCCTGACGTATCAGGTTGCCACCCTCTGATGATACCTAGATACCTCCCATTACCTTGTGCCTGGGGGCCCGATCACAATCTTGCATGCTGTCAGTTTAGACCAGGGGTGAGCAAAAGCACCTCCGTAGCCGGCTCTGGCTTGCCAAGTGGGTTGATCTGGCCTGCAGTAGCCCTGCTGCTCTCCTGCCCCACGCCAATCAGGGCCTAGAGATGGGGGCGCATGGATGCTTAGAGTGCCGTGTGCCAGAGGGAGGGAGCAAGAACCCCCACCCCCACCCCACTTCCAGACCAGTCAGAGCCTGGGGTGGGGGGGGGAAGTGTGCGAAGTCTCCTCCTGACTTGTCCCTGACTTGCAAGGAGTGCATGGCACTTAGAAGCTCCTGACGGGATGGGAGGAAATTTTTCACGCTCCCCCCATCCCCTGTAGCCAGATAGGAACCCCCCTGTAATATCCATCTTTGCTTGCCTGGAGCATGCAGGGCATACAGAGCAGTAAAAGCCTTGGAGCAGGAGGCTCAGGACATGCAGGCTGCTGTGACCGTGAATAGCTGTAAACAGAGATACGACAATTGCTGACCAAGAGGCTGCCAAGAAATGCCCTTGACTAAAACCCATATTGATACGGACACACAGCCGTCCGCGGGGGAGGAATCTCTCGCCCAGTAAAAAAAAAATGTCTAGTACTTACAATTTAGTTCTCTCTCTTGCAAGTGTAAATTAACTTGAAACTTGCTTGTAAGAACTGGCGCCACAAAACGGACCAGTACAATTTGGCATCTTAGATAAGAAAGAGGATACGGGCCCCCAGGGGTATAAAGATGGGTCCAGTAGCACATTTACTCTGAGTGTCAATCTACCATCTATCTGCTGGTCGGGTTAGGTGTTTGACCTCCCGAGGTTCCATGGGGACGCCCACCTCGTATTCGTCTTTCCTAGGAATTGAGGGACCGGCCCTGGCTTGACCCACTGGAGTTGAGAGGCACAGAAAGGGGTAAAAATTGTACCTGGATGTGTCCTTTGTCTTAAGTGTACTCATAGACTTAGAGCTCTTTAAAGATTAAGCTGTCACTTGGTACCATTATTTCTATTTTCTATCTTTATTTTCTTTGTAACCATTTTTAAGATCTATATTTGCTAGCAGTTAAGAAATAGAGCAATAGCCATTGTAACCATATGATTTATAAGCCTTTTTAATAAACCTGTAACTGTTTAAGTTTTAACCTGACTCCTTCAGTTGCTGTAACAGAACCAAGCACAATTTAAAAGAACTTCAGCCGGTCATAAGGGACAAGTATAGGAGGAGCTTGGGCGTTTGGATCATGCCACTCCCAGGTGACAGATCCGTTGGGGCATCTCTCAGTCTTCCCTAAACTGCCTGCTGCGTAGGGATCCTGTATCCTAGCAGCTGAAATCTGAGATGTGATAAGCTCTTCCTATAAACTTCTGGGGCGTCTGTCAGCCTGTTGGCTGCCCTCCGCGACGGGACCCCAGTCCTAGCGGTAAAGACACAGACGTTAAAGACTCGGGTGTAACACACACTGCCCTGACCGTCGGCTGACATCCCCATGCCCTGATTGGCCTGACTGAGGGGAGCATGCAAAGTCTCCTTCTGCCCTGCAAGGGGCATGGCGCTTCTAAGCACCACAGGCTCCTAGTAGGATGGGGATGGGCGGGAGGAGACTTAATTTCTTTGCCAATTTAATATTGTGATTTGGCCCTTGTGGACAGCAACACACTCCTATTCGTGCATTTATGGTTACCATCTGTATTATTAATAGTACACTGAGTGTTTTGAAATACTGGGATGGCCATTGTGAAATTGTGTCTCACAGGATTATGTATATGAGAAGTAATACTGAAATTTGGAGTAGTGACATTACAAATCAGGCTTCTATGTATAAATATCTTGTAATTAATTATTACTCAGTACTGTCCATTTACATTATAGGTTACCCTTACTGCTGGTTTTCAACTTCTGGAATAAGCTTTCCTGGGCAGGAAAGTTAATAAAAATAAAAAACAAAATTGTGATTAGTAAGAGAATGTTTTACAAATGCATTATTTATTGAGGCAGAAATATATGTACATATATTTCTAGCTGAAACCTTTTTGAATGCTACAAAAATATTGATATTAATAATATTATGATTATACCCCAACCGTGACATTAAAATAGTGCGGCACCAATTTTTTTTAAAAAGGATATAAAATGACATTTATTACAACAAAATAAACAGACTAAAAATAATAAAAAAGTAGTCACGAGACATGACATACAACCAAACACAACATACATGACACAACAATTATTACAACTAACAACAAATGGCTCCAGAATTCTATTAATAACGTTACAAAATAAGGCACAACAATTTTAAAAAGAAAACAAAACGAAAAGGATTCAACATTAAAATCAGAAAGGTATTATTTATTTAAAGGTAAGCTTGCACCTGCACTTTCTCTTTTGGCTGGAGGAGAGGGATCAAAGCAGAGGCAGCGTGTGAAAGGCTGTGTCTAGACTACATGCCTCTGTCGTCAGAGGCATGTAGATTAGACACATAGGCAAAGGCAAATGAAGCCGCGATTTAAATGATCGCGGCTTCATTTACATTTACATGGCTGCCGCGCTGAGCCGACAAACAGCTGATCAGCTGGGGCTGCCGACAAAGGGCTTTGATGTCGGCAGGGGAGC